TGATCTGGTTGTTGAGCTTTATGGAATAAGGTTACAAACAAAGAAGCTATTGTAGTGTCATTTCTACCGTTGGTTTTATTGGTTATACTAGCAGGAAATAAAGATTAGATTTTGCAGGTGAGTATACTACAGATAAGAGTCAAGAATAAGGTAAGTTGTTTTCATTCTTTTTACAATGTGCAGAAACTTCTTGATCAAGCAAGATCTCCACGCATAAGAAAGAGTGACCTTTAGTAATTGAGGGAGTATGACTGAATTTGGTTCAAAATGGGAGAATTCATGTCCCTTGAATGTGTATCAGTCAAAAAATTAGCAGATACATTATATCTGGAATTAGATACAATAAAGGTGAAAATGCCAACTGTGCACTCCCAGCTTCTGCAGATGGCATTTCTCCCAGGACAGTGTAGATCCTGGTCAGCTGCTCCTTTTTGGTTGTCAACCTATGGAAAATAGGTACCCTATAAATGTGACTCCCCACACCCTTCTCATGGCTGTAAAAGAGAAGGAGCTTTTTGTCTCTTCAGTGGTACCTGGATCCTATCTCCTCCCCCTTGGAATTTGTCATTCTTAGGATTTGTTTCCTGTAATACTCTGATGCTGGGTATCTGAAGAGCCCCTCAGGAAAGTTAGGTCCTTATTTAACTCTCTACAAGTTGCTAGTTTGGGCCCCTTTCCTGGCTAGGGAGATCTTTGCATTTGCTGGGAGCAAGTGAATGTTCCAGTTGCATGTCTGTTGTAATGATTTGCTCACATATGCAAGTCTGGGGCTGATAACAGAAGTGCTAAACTATGGTTTGCAAAACTACTGGCACTTGAAATATGAGAGATCCATTAAGTTAGGGTCAGGATGACACTTCAGGGGATCAGACACTAGCATATGTTGTAAAACCACTGGACACATACAAAATGGGAAATGACTACATAGGAAAGAGTACTGTGAAAAGGGATCTAGAGGTCATAGTGGTCCACAACCTAAATATGACTCAACAGTGTAACACTGTTGCAAAAAATATCAACACCATCCTTCTGGGATGTATTAGCGGGAGTGTTGTAAGCAAGACACAAGAAGTAATTCTTTCTCTCTACTCCATGTTGATGAGGCCTCAGCTGGAGTATTTTGTCCAGGTCTGGGCACCACATTTCAGGAAACATTTGGGAAAACTGTCAAAGGTCCAAAGAAGAGCAATAAAAATTATTAAAAGTCTAGAAAACTTGATCTTTGAGGAAAGATTGAAAAAAAATGGAGAAAAGAAGACTGAGAGGGACATAACTGTTTTCAAAGACATAAAAGGTGGTAACAAGGAGGAGGGAGAATTGTTTTTTAACCTTTGAGGAGAGAACAGGAAGCAATGGACTTAAGCTGCAGCAAAGAAGGATTAGGTTCAGTAAGAGGCTGTGGAATCTCCATCACTGGAGATTGTTAAGAGAAGGCAAAGACCTGTCAGGAATGGTCTAGGCAATACAGGCAGTCCCCGACTTACGCGGATCCGACTTATGTCGGATCTGCACTTACGAACGGGGCTTTTCTCGCCCCGGAGCTCACGGGCGGCGGGTCGCCGCC